TCCCGTTAGCAGATCTAAAAGCATATCAATTGTCCGAAAATGTGCCAGAAGAAAATCTAAGAAAATTACTTAATGTATAAACTCATTAGCAAAATATATTACTTATTTTACATAAGTGACTTACAGTAAAAACTTTGTATTATAAAGGTGGTACTGTTGATGTGACAGTTCACGAGGTAACAGCAAATGGAAAACTAAAGGAACTTCACAAAGCTTGTGGTGGTGCCTGGGGCGGGACACGGGTTGATGCTTCATACTTTGAACTATTCAGTACACTTTTTGGTCATCAGCTGATGGAGGACTTTAAAAGGGAAAATAAGGTGAAATACAGTTTTACATAGTCTGATTTGTTCTTGTAACGTATTAAAAAAACCAACATTATTTGTAATTATGTAACGTTAAAAGTCAACGCTAGAATAATGTCTTCTCATCAATGATCTAGAACATTAGGAACACCTCATTTTTAGCTCGACTTTTTTTTTTTTTTTTTTGAAAAAAAAAAATAAGTAGAGGTATTGTTATAGTCGGGTCGGCGTTGCCGTTGCCGTTCCCGTCCGCAAACTTGTACCTGAATCATAACTTTTTTATTTCTTGGTGTATTGTATTCATACTTGGCCACAACAACCCTTGGGACAAGACCTTTCAGTAGACCATACTAACCTTGACCTTCATCCATAAATGACCTTGACCTTCAAGGTTAAAAGTCCAATTTTTGCTTGTTATTGGCTGTAACTTTGTTATTTTTGAATGGATTGTCTTCAAACTTGAACATAATAATCTTCAAGGATATCCCTTAAAAATAACCTGACAGACCTTGACCTTTACTCATAAATGACCTTGACTTTGAAGGTCAAATTATTGAAATGTTCATGTTTTTGGCTATTATTGGCTGTAACTTTGTTATTTTTGAATGGATTGTCTTCAAACTTGAACATAATAATCTTCAAGGATAACCCTTAAAAATAACACGAGAGACCTTGACCTTCACTCATAAATGACCTTGACTTTGAAGGTCCAATTATTGAAATGTTCATGTTTTTGGCTATTATTGGCTGTAACTTTGTTATTTTTGAATGGATTGTCTTCAAACTTGAACATAATAATCTTCAAGGATAACCCTTAAAAATAACCCGACAGACCTTGACCTTCACTCATGAATGACCTTGACTTTGTTTTGGCTGTAACTGGCTGTTACTTTGCTATTATTGAAGGGATCAACTTCATATTATAACAGAACATACTTAAAGACAAGACCTTGTTGTTTATCGTGACTTCACCACGTGACTCCACCACGTGACTTCACAACATGACTCCACCACGTGACTCCACCACGTGACTCCACCACGTGACTCCACCACGTGACTCCACCACGTGACTCCACCACGTGACTTCACCACGTGACTCCACCACGTGACTCCACCACGTGACTCCACCACGTGACTCCACCACGTGACTCCACCACGTGACACCACCACGTGACTCCACCACGTGACTCCACCACGTGACTTCCACGTGACTCCACCACGTGACTCCACCACGTGACTCCACCACGTGACTCCACCACGTGACACCACCACGTGACTTCCCCACATGACTCCACCACGTGACTCCACCACGTGACTCCACCATGTGACACCACCACGTGACTCCACCACGTGACACCACCATGTGACTACCACATGACTTCCACGTGACACCACCATGTGACACCACCACGTGACTCCACCACGAGACTTCACCACGTGACACCACCATGTGACTTCGAATTGGGTGTCTCTATTTATATATATATAAATTAGTAAATTTATATATATAAAATATATAGACAAAACTAATGTGACAAAACAGAATGATTAATTTTATAAAAAAGGAAACGTTAATATTTTGTTCAAACTTTTCTTTGTTTGCTTTTAGAGAAAGTAAAAAGTCGAGCGTTGCCCCCGCCCGGCGGTGGCTCTTGTTTATCCATAGTCTTTATCGAAGTATGCTTCTTACTTATTTTAGTATTTTGACCATTTTGTGTTTAAGTATGAGCACTTGGATATGGAACGTGACTTCGAAACCAAGAAACGAACGGTTAAAGATGAAAGTGCACGTGTCAACATCCACGTGTCAGCAGCTTTTGTAGAATTTGTACGGGAAAAAACGGGAAAGTCCCCACAAGATATTGTTACTGAAAAAGGTATGGGCGACAAACTTACATTTAGGAGAGACAGAATAATGTTCCAGGGCAGTGTTATCAAAGAGATGTTTGATCCCTCCATTCAAAGTATCATTGATCACGTGAAAGACGTCATCCAGAGTCCAAAAGTACAAAGACTCGACAAAATATTAATGGTAGGTGGCTTCTCAGAATGTGTCCTCGTGATAAAGGCAGTGAAGGCAGAGTTCCCAGATATTCATGTAGTCGCTCCCGACGAACCAGGCCTGGCAGTTTTGAAAGGGGCAGTAATATTTGGTCATTCGCCAGAAGAAATTTCATCACGTGTTGTGAGATACACGTACGGTGTTGCTGTACAAGGTAAATTCACTGAAGGAGTCCATAAAGAAGAGAAACGAGTTAAAGATGGAAACGAGTCTTTGTGTAAAGATTTATTTGGTAAATTTATTGGGATTGATGCTGATGCTGGCAGCGAAGATGTCATTAAACGAAAGTATGACATATCAAATCGATACGCCTCTCTTAGTATTGCCGTGTACGTTTCAACTAAAGAATATCCCGTATATGTTACTGATCCAGATTGCTCGAAGCTGGGGGAAATATTGATTAAAGTGCCCATAGGTGGTTGGAGAACCAACTCCGAGATAGAGGTACAGTTTGGATTCGGGGGAACAGAGTTTACAGTGACGGCTACAGAAGTTAAAACTCAAATACAGCACGAGGCTAAATTTGATTTTCTTAGTTAGACTAGTTAAACCGATATACTTCATGCAAGAAATCTAAACAAATCCAATATACAAAGTGACTAAAGCAAAACAATTCTTTACAATGCAAAGCATATTTATACACTACAATTTTAAGTATTTGGAAATTTGTCTTTCTTATATTCATCAATTAAAAGGGAAGTTAATGAAGTAAGGTATATAGTAGATAGGTGTTATCAAGAATTCGAATCTTAACTTGAAGTGAGAGGAAGGAAAAACAAGGAAAGAAATTAGATCAAGTAATTGTTGATTGAGTAGCGGTACAAGGAAATGAACTTACAACATTATAAGTGGTGTCAACCATATTTTATTTTTAAACGTTTTAATTAACTTAGTATTAAAGTACTAGCAGGGTAATTCAATTCCATGAAATAGTTTCAAATTTAAGATTTTGAGATAAGGTCATATATTTGTATACTCAATTAGCTCGAGAATATTGAGTTTTTAACGAAAATTTATACACTATATTCAGAAAGAACAAATCGCCGGTAGAAAAATGACAATGCAACGCGGAAATCTCACTGTTTCGTTTGTGCTAGGGCTTTTGGTTTTATATTACATTTGTATTACTGTAAAGAACAGTAATGCCGTATATTTAAATGTATAAACATTGTCTTGATGAAGTTAATCAGATTTGTATCATGTACTCAAGTTGATATTAATAACATCTAACGTTCATCTCATACTCGGAAAAAATAGTTCACTTACTGCTCAGAAGCTACAAGTCCCCCACTTCAGTTTTGCATATATAATTGGTGATCTAAATGTTTTAAGCATTTGTTTTGTAACATTTATTGTAAAAAAAACAGGCTTGTAAGATCTCTATGATTTATATGTGGCAGTTGAATGTCTGATACTTCATTTTAGTACTATTATATTTATCTGGCTATTGTTTTCTGTTGTTTACTGCTAAAGCCGGTGCTAGGGGGCGTCTTATATTGCAGCATCTTATATTCTCATAAGCAATCATACAGTCTGTAGTTTTTACCTGTTACTATTGTTTTGGGATCTGTCCTTTTTCTGAATATTTGTACATTTGTATTTTTATCATATATATATTTTTTTAATTTTACAGCTTAATATTTCTAATAAAATATATCATTGCTATTTGTGTTATATATACAAACTATTATTTTCTCTTGCCAAAAATTTTATACAAGTTTACAGTTTAAAATGATAAAACTATTATCATTTAATCATATTGTATTGTAACTGAAATAAAATATAACATACCATTAATTATCATGATCAAAGGAACTATGTTTAAAATGGTAAAAGACGACGCGGGATACTCTATATAAGCAGTCAACTTAGTAGATCACGTATTCAGTTGTAGAAGAAATACAACCCTTCACCACACCTCTGCCTTTCCAAAATATCAACAGACTCAACAATTGACCAATTGCCCTAAGTGACAACTTCAGTGTTTCAGTAAAAGCAAGATTACAACTGAGCTATCTCGCCTGTTTGGTAGAACTATTGAATGGCTGCGTGTTTGTTGTTTGGTTTTACCTCGCACTAACACAATTGAGGTAATATGTCGCCGGAACAGGGCTAACCTCAGGTGTTACAAACTTAAAGCAACACCTGGTACAAAACCACCTCACCTGCGTGATCGTTACAGAAAACTAAATGGGTTGTAATTACTGGAGACTGGCGGCGGAGACTGGCTGCATGTGAGATCAACGCACTTCATTCGTTCCTTATTATACCATAATTACATATGATTTCAACCAGGACTTTAATGTAAATTCCTTTTTGAAATAAAAAGTAACATCAATCATATATTTGTAATATAATTATGCACTAGTGCAAAAATTATGTCAAAGTATAAAAGTACATGTAACAATTAGCAAACATATTAAAACATTAAACAAATTATTTCATAGAATATGGCATGATAAAAGACTTTAAACACACTACACTATAAACTCAATGAGAAATCAAATATGTTATCCCATCTTATATACTAGTTTTCATGAGTATTTCTAAACACATAAATGTTATGCTTTGTAAGTCCTGTTAAAAATACAAAGTAATTCCTCAGTAAAATGACTTTGGAAAAAGTACAAATGTAACATTTTGATTATAAACCATCCATCGATCAGGACCATCTAGGAATGATCAGGACCATCTAGGAATGATCTGGACCATCCAGGAATGATCAGGACCATCTAGGAATGATCAGGACCATCCAGGAATGATCAGGACCATCTAGGAATGATCAGGACCATCCAGGAATGATCAGGACCATCCAGGAATGATCAGGACCATCCAGGAATGATCAGGACTATCTAGGAATGATCAGGACCATCTAGGAATGATCAGGACCATCCAGGAATGATCAGGACCATCTAGGAATGATCAGGACCATCTAGGAATGATCAGGACCATCCAGGAATGATCAGGACCATCTAGGAGTGATCAGGACCATCCAGGAACGATCAGGACCATCTAGGAATGATCAGGATCATCCAGGAATGATCAGGACCATTTAAGAATGATCAGGAAAGTAGTTTGCCCTATGAATGTAAATACTTCATTTGAATTATGATATAAATTTTCAACTACCGTAAACAAAATGTTTTCAAGATATACAAAAATGTCTGAAAAAACAAAAATGATTCATGCAGAAAAGTTCATAAATGGTAAACAACATGGACACAAAAATATATCCTGAAAACATTTATCCCAACTGGTGAGTACGACAAAAGCTTATCACTGTATAATATCATTATCAATCTTGACAAATACCCGTGACCTAATAAGTGGCAAGCTAAAAATAGAAAAATTCTATTATGTCTTCTTGTATGACATGATTGCTTTTAAACAAAGATTTGTAGAAAAATAGGCAAGAAACAAATAAAATTTGACTTGCCTATGCTTCTATTATTGAAGGTGTTGAGTCAACACTTGTGTGTAGTAATATCAGACTGCTACTAAATATGGTAAATGTTAATTCATTAACTTGCTCAATGCAAAGCTAGTGTACCTATGATACTATTTTTATACACTTAATATAGTTTTGAACTAAACAGACCCATGAGCAAAGAAAACATGCTACATAATTAGTTATGACAGTTTTGACTTTAAATGAGTATCAAAATCAGATCAATTATGTACTAACAAGTACACTTATGTATAAATTTTCACAAAATTTGGTAATGATCGTGGTATAACAGTTTCACAACATTTCACAAGTATGTATGAATCATATACATGGTATAATGTTAAGATCAGGCATTGTAGAGGTCCTCCTGTGAAGAAGAGAGCAGGATGTGCCTAATACATCTTCAGTACCTTGGCTGTCTGAGTGTGAGTGTTCCTGTGAGTACAACCCAAGTTTAAACACCACCCCAGAGTCCGAATCAGCATCAATGGGACTGGGACTTCGTGACTTTTTATTTTTTGTCTCTGATGTTGTGATTGTGAAGCCACGAGGCACCATGAGCTGAGTGTATAGCTGTGAGAGAGTGCCAGTATTAGATACCGGATCACAGAATAAGTCTTTATTGAAAGGAATCATGTTTTCTCTAAGTAGGTCAGTCAGACAAGGCGTTGATACACTACTGTTTAACTTAAACTGGTATTTCATATTCTTGGATGGTTCACTTACAGGTGTTCTTCCAGAAGTTGCATCTGTAATAAATGTTCAAGCTAATTATTTTGAAAGAGAATTTATATTGAATTATGGGAGAGACAAAAATACTGACAAAAAACAACAGAGAAAAGTTTTTTTTGCCTACAATGGGCCATATCATTCAATGAGTTATTTTTTTTACAAATCATGTGACAATGAAATTGTTATAACTTATATTAATTTAGTAACAGACCTAGATATGTATCTTAAAAATTCTGGTTAAAGGGAGACTACTACAACAAAATATACTGAACTATATTTAATTCAGTTCCACTTTGGGTCAAACTTCAATCATTGAACACTTTTTATAATAGAATCAAAATTAATTATGAAATATTGTGTCCAAGTTTTAGTGATTTAGTTACCTTGCTGTATCACAGTTGATTGATTTTGTGTGGGTTTCTTGGACATTTGGATTTCATGTATAGCATCTTGGCAACCACAATCTGCAGCTTGCCTCAACAACCTTTGTGCATATTTCTTGTCTTGTGGTAACCCTAGAAATACATTAAGAATATGTTCATGCATGTGATCATCAAATGCCTGATTTTTATATTGTATTATATTACCTTTATTAAATTTCTTACGAACATTTATAATTTATTTATCCTTTATATTAATTCATATATACTATACATTAATCATTATAGATGTTATGTTACATAACTTCTTTCAATATAATTATGCTGTTTATAATTTTATATTTTATCTACTTCACAAAACATACTCCAATCCCCCACAAAAAACTATCAAAACAAGCACTAGAGAAGTTTTACTGAGGTTTATGCACTGTAGGTCTAAAACAAAAACATAGATTGAGGACTTAAAACAGAAAACTATGTAAACAATAATAAGGAAATGTACTCAGAATATAATTAAACATCATTTTTTGTGGAATGTTTAGCCATATTTGTTGAGTCATTTTGCAGAATTAAAATGATTATTCTTGGGAAACAGAGTGATCCAATAATCTGACACTTTGCATAAAAGTTCTTGAGCTAGCCGTTTCTCAAATGTTATACAAATCTCACAAAAATATTCCCAGTCCTTGAATGTCAAAACACCTCTCAGTCAAGTCCCTTTAAAACATGTTTGTTTATTAATTATTATCATTCTACACTAACTTGTCTATCTATATTATGATACATTTTCACTCTTATGAGTTATTAAATCTAACTGAAGATAATAAATATATTAAATACAGAATTATATATATAATATTAAAATGAACAAATATGGTTTCAAATATAAAACTGATATTACCTCCAAGACCTTCCTGATGAAATATTGCAAGACTAAACATTGCATCAGGATTACCTCTTCCAGCTGACTTACTATACAAGTCCGAGGCTTTACACAAATTCTCATCCACACCGTACCCATGTTGATAACACAAACCAAGAAAATATTGTGCTTCAGCATTCTAAATATACAACAAAACCATCTTAAATTTGGAAAATATTTCCATCTACCATACTAAATATGTGACAAAATATCTTAGAGTAGGAAGTTTTCCTTTATCATTCTAAATATGCAATAAAACCATCTTAAACTTGGAATTACATCCCTCTATCATTGACCTCTGGTTATATCAGCTTATCTCGTTGGTCAACGGTTTATTTTTTAGACTTCTGATTGGATTAATTTAAATTTGTATTATTGAATTTGGTAGATATTTTAGCTTCTTACATAACGTTTATTTTTCTTTTGCTCACCATTCAGTCACATATTTTGTAGTTGTTATCACGTTTTAAGTCTTTTTTGCCCATCCGCCCTGGCACATTTGGTTTTGCAATAAGTTTTATTGCATTTAGTTATATTAGTACTGCTTTTGTTGAATATTTATATTGATTAATAATTCTTTGTGGATTGATATATATATCATTCTTTAGTTTATAAGTGTTGGTCAATTTCGCAGTTATCTAGTGATAATTCGTGATCATTTATTAACCTAATTAAAGATTGTTATTGAAATTTCTGGCTAGGTTTTTCTTTGTTAAATCTTAAATGAACAATAATTACCGTCAATCATTACCACCTAACCAACAGAATTTATGTCATGGACTTACCTTGCTATGAATTAAGAACAGTCCATTTTTAAGGATTTCAAGTTTACAGGATTTCACTTTGAAAATTGAGTAACAATAGAGCCTAGTCAGATGTGCATGGATGTGCAGGCCAGTCTCCCTCTATACTGGTGGCATACACTTATTACATTTAGTTTAAGCAGATTAACATGTTTCACAAATAAAGGAACAATTACCTGTTGATTGGAAGCTAGTGTGAGATAATGGACAGCTTTTGATTCATTCTCGGTTTGGTCCTCTGTATAGTATACACCTAAATAACACTGTGCCTGAAATTAATATAAAAGGTTCATACTAAACTTTTCATTGGACAATTGTGATGTTTATATTGTATAACATACATGACTGCTGTCTATTTATGAATAAATCTCACTTTTTTTCTTTACAAAGTTTGCTGTATAATAAATTCATTGCAAAGATTCCTGACAGGTAGTTGTTTGTAATATAACCCTCCACTAGCAGCTGTTACATATGCAAACAACCATTCATATAGTGCCATATAACCTGTCAAATATCTTTACAACTAACAATATAACAACTACAACAAATGTATGCAACAAACTGATCAGCCATGATAAACAAGAACATGACGTTAGACATTTCACTACATATTTCTTCAAACATGAGCAGGTAAAACCACCAATGTCTTATTGCTGGTTGGCATGCAAAAGAAATTAGGGAACAAAGTTCTTCTTTACATCAAAATGAATCTCTTGCCCAATACAAAGGTATATTTCATCTTAGAATAAAGGCACTACCGGAAGCTTATTGATGAAAATGTTATAAGATGCCAACAGACTGAAAATGATAAAAATATGCCCAACAATGTATTAATGAATGAAGAGCTATTAAAATAGTATACATTACAATATTTATTTTACCTCAGCCAACCCAAGGTCAGCAGCCGCAGAGATAAGTTGCAGACCTCTGTGTGGATCTCTAGGTGTGTGTAATGACCCTTGTAAATACATTTGACCAAGATTATACATGGCTTGTGGGTGAAAGTCCTCTGCTGCAAGCTTATACCATCTTACAGACTGTAACATCACAATACTTATTATGTAATAGATAAAAAAAAAACAACAATACAAAAAGCTAAAATAATGGAGCACAGCAACCTTATTTCGCTGATTTAGTTGATGACCTGCTTTTTCATTTATGTACCTGGTTTATCCAAAAAGATACAGCTGCAAATAAATGGTTAATAAACGCCCTGAAGACAGTTTATGGGAAAAAGAAATAATCAAATGTAGGACATTTCCATGGATGTAAAATTAGGGCAAAGACTAAATCATATTATGTATATTCTAGCATCCTTACACACTGGCAATAAAAATACATGTAGTAACTTAAACAAAGTTTACTGTAAACATAGTTTTATCAACAAACATGTATGCCCCTCTTTCTCTAAGCACCATGATCAAAAGAAATTAAGAATAAGTGTAAGATATTTAATATTCGACATTTTATACTTGTAGTTTTATCATGTTTGCCATCACAAAAACCTGGGATTATGTTTTTTTGTTGATGAACACTGTGGTACGTAACCATATAGGCTGTCACCCTGGTATTGCAATATTTCCTTTACTCTTTATCAAAATATACTACATGTATCACATATTTACAGTATTTCAAGCACTGAAAACTAGCTTGTCCATTTACATGTATCTTTATTCTTTCTTGTTTGATAAAGACTTCAGACTGTTATAAACATAAGCACATTTAATTATAAGTATTATTAATACACTGTTGAGAGTTTAACATTTAGAAAACAAATAGCTGCAGCATAGGTTGTATGTTGTTGTCATAAACAATTTGTATTACCTATATATTATCCCAATATGGGTTTGACCATGTCATTGTAACCATCTACAAATATTCAACATTACCTGGTAGCGTTGTACAATATGAAATAAATCACCATCAAATACAATGATAGAATCACTTTACCTCTTTAAGGTTTTTCTTTACTCCTCTCCCTGTCTCGTAACACACAGCTAGGTTGAAACGTGATTTTGTATTCCCTAAGTTGGCAGCTTCCTCCCATAATGCAGCAGCAGATTTCAAATGCCCTTGTTGAGCTTCCTGTGAGCCAAGAATGCCCTTTCCTGTAGCAGTGTACTTTTTACACACATCTTCAAAGTTTTTGAAGGCCTGTTCAAGAGTTTCTACCTCAGGGGTTTCATTAGCAACCTGTGAATGAAGGAGTTAAACAAACATTAGCCTACATTTAGCAGCAGTCTCAACTCTTAAAGCTGCATGCCTCTAGAGGTGCACATATATTTCAAGAAAATCAAACTTGATAATAATGTACTTTAAGAAAAGTAAAAAAGATTCAAAATCTAAGTAATAATTTACATGTTATATGTGATTATTGATTAATGACTGGTTTTGCAGTATTTATCACCATATTTCTACTGCATGACTTACACATTTTTTGGTAATTTATGTGGATTGTAAGTGCCATTTGCAATGTGCATTATACTTCCTTTGTTCATTTTACAATATTTTACTTTTAAATACATTTTCAAAATTTCATGAAAATTAGCATGAATCAGGAGGCATGCTTTTTTAACACTACATAACTTCGTATGCCCAGTCCTTACATCACTGTATCTATTTTCATTGAAAATTCCTCTTCAAAAGTTTTTGAACAAATTCAAAAGACATGTGCCAAAATAAATATTTCTAGTTCCTTGCATACTTACATCCTTGGTGTTCTGTGACTTGTCCTGGAGTGTAGCTTTGTGTAACCAAGTGTCATCAGAGGATTGTTGACTGTGTGAAGAATCTTGTTTGTTTGCAACATTTCCCGATGTTATTGATAATTTAGTGTCTGTTGTGACAGGGAGAGCATGTAAAACTATTGTTGATAACAGACAGTGTCTCCTAGTTTCTTCTCGATCCTTACTTATTCTGTGAAGGAATTTGAAATGTCCAAACTGTATTCCTAGAGCCAATGCACCACCCTGAAATTGAAGACATTATATAATAGGATAACAAAGAAATGTTAAATCTTGAAACAATCCGTTATTTTTCATATTTGTTCTTGAAACAATTGGTCATTGGAAAGAAGTACATACTACCAGAACTTCTTGAGATACTGAAATTTTTGTATCAAAACTAACAAATTTGCTCGAGTTCATTCCAGTTTGGTATCACAGAGATGTTTCCACACATTTCATTGTCAAATTTTAATGCATTTTTTATGCTTTTCAAAAGGTACTAAATATTTAATGCATTTTTTATGCTTTTCAAAAGGTACTAAATATTTTTTCCAATTCAGCAATTTATGAGGCAAAATTTCTGAAACTGGGCAAGGTACTTTTTCCCAAAAAGGCAAGGAAAAGGAATGCTTACCATTGATGTATCCAAGTTTTAAACTACTTCAATTAAAATCAGACTTACTATTCAACATCTTGTATGAGCAATAAATTATTCACATAAACACTGGCATTTGGCACTGTACATAATCTATAAACAATTTCTTTATAACACCCAACTATCAATGTTTCTGGTTGAATGGAATTATATGTATGTAGCTGAGAAGCTGTATCCTTATTTTGAGCAATGTGTATAGAGAAAATACCAATACCGTATATAAAGAGAGTAAAATAAAGATAACATACTAGTCCTATGGCATCTATATGTGAAGGTGAACCAAGGACCAAACTCCAGAAGTCTGGAATGTCATATTTATGATCCTTCTTTCTATCATAATCTTTATCTTCTCTGAAAATACAAAATTTTTACAGACTAAAAAAGTGGCCAAAAATGTATTCAAATGATAAAGCAAAGTTTGGTTGCATAAATTCATAAAAAAAGACTTTGAAAAAAAAGGTTTGTTTCTGTGATATTATCACTATATATACATAGAGGATATTTGTTTAGTGCAGTGTAAGATCAGAATATATTTCACCTAGTGAGCATCAAAAGGTACATTTCACGAGTGGCGCAGCCACAAGTGAAATATGAACTTTTGGTGTTCACGAGGTGAAATATATTTCGATCTTACATTAAACTAAACAAATTTTCTTTTTATTATAATAAATTATGCAAAGAAACATTTTAACCTAGTACTAAATGAAAGGGCGCCAAATAATAATACAACGTGACGTCATTTACGAGGACACGTCATTAAGTTGGTTTCCAGTACTGTGAACGCTTGTATTTTACTGAAACAACGTACCGGGCTCAAATATTCAAAACAGTGAAATTATCAAATTGATAATTTCACTGTTTAAAACAGTGAAATTACTAGTTTTTAGTTCACCGATATATTTCTATAAACCATCGAAAAGCATTTAATAAATAATTGATAATACAAAATTTTTCAAATCATATCTTTATTTACAACTCATATGGAACAATATATCAATATATTTTCTAAAAGTGAATTTATGTTGTACTAAGAGTACAGTCCATCTTCCAAAAAAAGTAATAAATATCATTGTTACTTATTACAAGTCACATTGATTCTTCAACTTAATGAACATGCCTGTATGTCTTGAGTGATATTTCACATATAATCATCACATTTATTTTTCTTATTTCAAAAAAATTCATCACAACTATTCATTTTCTTACAATGTCAAAGAAATAATATAATAAATAATATGCTTTTCTAATGACATTTAAAAAATATAAACCAAGTTCAGGGCTCTCAATTGACACGGGGATCCGGGTTTTGACTCGTGAAAATCAGGAAATGCACAAATTTGACACGTGATAAAATCTGCACAAGAGTCAATTTGCCATGTGGGATTTTCAGCTATGCAATAATAATTACCTTAAATCTACTCCTAATTACCTATCAAATCCTACATATATGTTCAAATCACACTCAAAAAAATGTCACCGTGTGTAATACACAGCATTGTTTATAGCCTGTGCACTGAAGCGCGACATCATTGGATGCAATTTGACAGCGCTAAAAATAGCTCTACACAACTGATAAGAATTACATACTTGAGGTGTCAATTATTGATTGCTCATAAAGGTTTATGATACGTGGAGTGCCTGTACATTTGTTATAATCCATTAAATATTCCTAGTGCATTTTGTTATTTAAAATTAATATGATATATAGCATACCAGTAAAGAATTTTTTTTTTATATTTTAAACTTTTAATCAGAAAAGCTGCTAGTCTTAATTTATTCTTTCACAGTAAAGATGCAATTCATTTTTTTTTATTTGTTTGTTTTTTGTTGTCTTTTTTTTGGAAGGGTGGGGGTATATATACATTATAACTAGGCATTTTTTCCATGTTAAATATTATCAATTTAGACTTGAGAATCTACACAAAATGACCTCCAATACAGTAATTTTTGTAACATAAAAATGATTCATGTTATCAATTGACACTAGAAAAAAATTATTTGACTCATGAAAATTTTGGCCAAAGAGTCTTTGACTCGTGAAATTCTGACCCTACTGAGAGCCCTGAAGTTATACATATACATGTATGTCAAAGAAACTTAAATATACATGTAGAGCCCTATCATTATCAATATTTACAAAAAGATTTGATTTTCTAATGTTCTTATTCATGTTACAATGGAAATATTTTTTATTATCATTTGATTATCAAAAGAGTGTTTCAAGTAGTCATATGATATTCTTTTTATGATGTATAACAAAAAAATCTCAAAAACATTTATTAGAATATGAAGACTGTATATCATAAAACATTACTTTTTCCTACAATGACTCTTCCATTCACAAGACTGTTGTTTGGTTTTCTTAAAATCTTTGCTGTCATTTATTTCTTCCACATGTATGCCTGCCGAGGCGCCAGGACCAGTGCATTGCTGACGAACAACTGAAAACAATAAAAACAAGTTGTTGAGTTTCAGTAACTACAATCAGGTCACTTAATTAAAGTTGTGGGGATGAATATGGAAGAATTATATAAAATACGGGGATAAGTCTTTAACATTTAATTCAATGAGAGAAGACATGTAAAACAACCCCATGCACACTTAAAAATCAAAACAAATGAATCAAAACTATCAGTATACAAAAATTCAGATAAAGGTTGGCATTAAGGATGTTTAAAAATTGATATTATATATAACTGTCTATAGTTTGGATTTCTTTATAATTAACAAAAAGGTTTCAATCTCAATTTTCAATAAAATGTCTTCAAGCAATTATTTCTGGCTCCAGGAAAAAAGTGTGAATCAGTCTCAGTGAGTGTTGTGTTTTTTTCTAGTAGTCCAATATATCAGACAACTCAACTTGTAAACTTTTTAAATGATGCAACAAATTTGTGGAAATCCCCTTTTAAAAAAACTTAAAAGTTATCAGTGTGATCGAGTCAACATCTAGAACAAATATTATTTACAAACAGTATTAGATCTAATATCGTGCTATATTCCATGAGATTGACTTACCCCTCGGCAGGCTGTTTAACCATCTCCACATATCTTAAAACCTAGCAATTTGGCTGTCACGTTAAATATTTGACAGAGGACACCATTCCTCTATCCGGCAGCCATCTTTGTATCCTTCGCTACACTTGATTTTTATCCGGATACAAATAGGTATAGTCCTGTAGTTAATCGATGAAATTGTGCGTCGGGATCATTCACTTTATTATAAAATAGCCGTTGCAAGGGTGTGCGAGATGTATTTCTCATGAACACACTGAATCGATCTAAAGCCTTGAATATTCAGCTTCTACATGTATATGAATGCTTGATTAAAATTAATTACACTTTGTTTTCTATGGTGGCACAGAGGTGACATCTGTGTGTTTTTATTTCCCTAGCTACATGTAGTGAGCATAAGATACTATGTCGTGACCACGATTTACTAAGTCGTGCGTTCAAGATAATTTTGTGGTGCTCACGAGATACTATGTTATGGCCAAGGTTTACTAAGCTGTGCGCATGAGATAATTAAATCATAGGCACAAGATACTATGTCGGGGCCACGAGTTAAGTAATTGGTGCGCACGAGGTAATTTAGTCGTGCGCACGAGATACTTTGTCGTGGCCACGAGTTACTAGTCGTTTGCAGGAGATGAATAAGTCATGTGCACAAGATAATTGACCAATCAGATTACACTACATGTATATATAGTCTAGTGATGGAAATCGGATGAAATTTGTCCCAATCGATCATCGGTTCAGTCGGATGGGACATAATCGATAACTTTTCGAATAAAGTCGCGTTAAAAAGAAATAGGGAAGTAACATTTCTTCCCAAGGCATTTGATTATATCCAGTAACATGAACTTCATTTAGCACTTTTCAACACAGTTTTTACCTTATATAGTCATAATTTTACGAAATAGATTTTATTTTTCAATGGATGTCAAATAATAACATTCACATCACATTATATTACTATTGTTTACATCACTTATTGATCCTGTTTATCTCCAAATTGTCTCTGAGAAGATTTTTTGCGATCGGCGAGGTGTTCCTAAAAGAAATTACCGTCAGAATTATTCCCTTTGATACTTTTTATATTTTCGATGACGTCGCAGAACCAATTTTTGTGAATCGATTATTGTCGCTTTACAAAACAGTAACTGATTGTCGGCGACTTGCGACAATCGGAACATCACTAATATATACGTGTATATATGAATTTTTAAAACTTAGACATTGAACTCCTGGTTAAAGTTTCGTGCCACGTACGTAAATCTTTGAAACTGCTGATGACATTCACTTTAAACTTGATAAATGTCTTTAGGATCATAAATGAGGTCACAACCCAAGGCTCATAAATCAGGCATTAATTTTGACTATGTTAATGCCCTTTGTGGGGAATATCCTGTGATAAGGTTGATCAGTATGTACCTGTACGTACGAATTACGGACATTTCGGACCACGGACGTTTCGGACCAGACACTTCGGACCAGATTTTTTGGTCATTTCGGACCAGATTTTGGGACATTTCGGACCATGTGATGGTCATTTCGGACCATGATGGAGACAATTCGGACCAGAATATATATTCCTTTTTATATGTAATTATTTGTGATTTCAGGATGTATTTAATATATTTTCTAATAATAAATGCAACAAATATTTGACAATTTTATTTTATGATATTCAAAATGCATGCCGTAATGACCTGTCCGTCAATTTTAACCAAATTAAATCGTGTTCTAGCAGGTATTAAAGAACAAGACATCCTTGTCAATGCAGTTTTTCACACGTTTTAATTGCTGAATAGAACTTGTTTAAGTTACGTTTCACTCAATTATGTATGCAATTTTCACCTAATTTGACAACAAATATTTTAATTGATGTGAATGCGATTAAAGTACAGTTTTAATCATCATTAAACAAAATGATTATAATTGTAAAAAATTGATGTCCAGACTGCAATATAAAAATGTATTTTCTACAATAAATTGTTTGCAAACGAGTCATTAAAACGAAGTTTGTTTGTTTTTTAATTTTCTTCATTTATAGTGCAAAATATATTAAATCTAAATCGGGATAGGTGTAAAATCGTTCCATGGTGTCTCATATATTCTAAAGTTACACTTTAGTTTATAGAATAATTGATGCATAATATATATAAAAAAATATTTATTCTGGTCCGAAACGTCCAAAATAATGGCCCGAAGTGTCTAACACACGATCCCAAATGTCCAACACATGGTCCGAAATGTCTAACGCATGATCCGAAATGTCCAACACATGGTCCGAAATGTCCAAAAATCTGGTCCGAAATGTCCCTAAATATGGTCCGAAGTGTCCTAAAATCTGGTCCGAAATGTCAGGTCCGAATTTTCAAAGAAACATTTTTCAATTTTAACATTGTTAAGGCTGTTTTTTTCCCAATTTGTGATTGATAAATATGTTAGAATTATGGTCCGAATTGCTTAAAGTACGAAATGTTAGTAGTCCGAAGTCACTAAATTGTCACATGATAAGTACAAAATGGCGGACATAGCTAACTTCAAACAAACGAGTTTAGGTGTATTTCTCCTAACATGGGGAATGACAGTTTGCTATGAGGTGATTGTTCTCTAATATTTTATTCATTAAATTCAAGTAAATCAAAAGTTTTCTTGACATCTTATGTGTTTTTTTGTAGAAAAATAATTAACCTGTCACAAGTGCTAAACACAACAGAATCACGGATTTATATTACAAATAGAATGAACAGAATGAACCTACATGTACAAATATACATTGTACATATGCTTATTTTCATTTATGCTATATAATATGCATATTAAAAAAACCCAAAAAAAAAACTGATTTATGTCTTTACATAGGAGGGACCTACTCTCAATTCATGTATTTCGACTGCAAGAACAGTAGTCTCAATATTTCGACTGCAAGACCGACCGATTTTATAATTTGATTTCTCATAGGTGTGACTGTCTGTCCTTACAGTCTGTCTTTTCTGTCTTTTTTGGTGAAAGGCGACCATCATCTATATAATAAAAAGCCCACAATTTGTTGGGCTACATGTACAAGACCTGATCAAGGGTCTTTCAAAAAAACAAAAATAAGAAAAAAAAACAAAAAAAGGCCCTGAAGACTGAAAGATTTTACAAATTGTTCATATAGGCCCTGGCACAAAATTTGTTTGGTTATTTTGTTCAGCCACACAGACACTGGGTGGAGATCTGACCCTATCTTCCAGCTTGAACAGCCCAATGTAAACGGCCATAAATAACTTAATTAACATTTGAACACAAATAATGCAGCTGTTTTAATCATAAACCATTTCCACAATAATAAAAACCCCATTTACTTATTTTACAAATACAGTAAATTTGACAAAAAATATGAAAAAAAACATCAAATGAATATCAGCAAAATTCATCAGTTTGATGAGTGTTGTGAATTTTAGTTTGATTGGGATTGTTTTTGTAGATTAAAAATAAGCAAATTTGACATGAGAAATGGGTTTACAGTCTTACCAATGGTGACATTGAGAAAAGGTTTTGTATTTAAAGGTAAATTGCATGAATTTTTGTTGAGCCCGCTTTTAGTGAGCTTGACTTAGTTGCCACTTTTAACACATAGTTTATTGTATGTGTGACCCTCCGGACATGTCTTGCCTATATCTTGCGCATTCTTTGAAAGATTACAAAATAATTTGGTACAAATGTTTACCACAATGGGGTGTTGTGTCACACTTGAAAACCAGGTCTGTCACTTGAAGGTTAGGTCACACTTGGTGGTCATCGCAAAACCTGTGTCCGGAGTATAACTTCCACATGCATGGAGGGATTTTGATATAACTCAGGACAAAAGGCAAAATGTTGTGCAAAAAATTCAGGTGTCTGTGGTAAAGGTCAAGGTCACACTTACGGGTCAAAGGTCATATACAAAATAAAGCATTCATTTGCGAGTATAACTTCGATATACATCGATGAATTTTAATATAACTTAGCACAAATATTCTCCATGTTGAGTTGAGTTATCTTGCCTAAAATGAAGGTCAAGTTCACAAGAGGTCAAAGGTCAAATTAGAATTTGTTTGTTGGCATTGTGTCTTGCTCATTCCTTGAAAGATTACAAAATAGTTTGGTACAAATGTTCACCATGATGGAGTGGTGTGTCGCTCAAAAAACTCGGGTCTGCCACTCAAAGGTCAAGGTCATACTTGGGGTTCAGAGCGAAATCCGTGTCTGGTAACTTCCACATGCCTGGAGGAATTTTAATATAACTCGGAACAAATGTCCAACATAGTGAGGTGGAGTGTCACGCGAAAAAATTCAGGTGTCTGTGGTAAAGGTCAAGGTCACATTTAGGGGTCAAATAACAAAATAAAACATTCATTTGGAAGTATAACTGCTATATACATGGATGAATTTTGATATAACTAAGCACAAATGTTTTCAATGTTGAGTTGAGTTTTCTCTCACAAAATGAAAGTCAAGGTCACAAGATGTCATAGGTCAAATAAAACAATCAAAATTGATGGTGCTGTATCTTGCTCATGCTTTGAAGTATTATGCTTAGTGATCAGAACATTTTTAAATTGTTATTTTTTCTTATGGTGAGGTCGTCTTAGTTACCACTTTTCACTTTTGGCGGTTTGGTGTATGTGCACCCATATGTCCGTCCAGATTTGTCCTGTCTATATCTTGCTCATTCTTTGAAGTGTTACAAAATAGTTTGAGACTAATGTTCATCATGATGGGGTGGTGTGTCACATGCATAGCCCAGGTCCGTGGCTCAAAGGTCATGGTCACACTTGGGGTGTTTGCCTAAAACCCATGTCCGGAGAGTAACATGCATGGTTGGATTGACAAATGTTATCCATAGTGTGTTGAGTGTTGTGCAAAAAATTCAGGTGTCATGCAAAGGTCAAGATCTCACTTCAGGGTCAGATAAAAAATTAAAATATTCATTTGTGAGTATAACTTCTATATACATGGATGGATTTTAATATAACTTAGTAGAAATGTTCTCAATGGTCTTAGGCAAAATGAAGGTCAAAGTCAAATAAAGATATCAAATTTTTTTTGTCTGCACTGTATGACTGTATCAAAATTTTGTTGTCTACACTGTATCTTGCTAATGCTTTGAAGTATTATGCTTAGTGGTCAGAGGATTTTTGTTGAACCCGCTTGCACTGAGCTCAACATAGTTGTCAAAATGGCTGCTCAGTCTTTGTGTGTGTGTTCGTGCGTGTGCGTGCATCCAAACGTGTCATAACTTCTTTATGCATGGAGGAATTTTCAAATAACAATAATTGAGTTTTTTTAGGCACAAATGTTCATGACTTCCTGTCATGCACATGAACCAGTTAGTCACTGGGTTTCCAAAGATGATGCAATTTCAAGATTATGCCTTAGGTAAAAACAGAATGTGTTGCCCACATCTCACCTATGTATACATCATTTTCCTTGATCTGAAGGTTACAGGTTCAACTTTGAATTAAGATGAGCGGGCTAACATTCTGCCCATGGATATATCTATTTTTCCTATTACCTACTTTTTTGTCATGCATAAACCTCATTAAATTTAGTGTGAACAGTTTGACCCATTTTACAGACCATTTTTACTACTGTTAAACCATTAGACATCATCCGACCAAAATTATCTTCATGTCTCTTTGGCAAGTCTGATTACTGTAACTGGCTGGACTTATATAGGGAATGATATTTTTTTTTGTCTTATTAGAAACATTTATGTTGCCAATTAAATTATAAGTATTAAAGAAAAAAGAAAGAAAAAACTGAAATAAGAAGATTTAAGTTCTTTTGCAGAGATTGCAAGATATTGTCGTAGAAAACATTTTTAAGGTCTAAAACAAGATTAAATAAATTTTGTTTTCATTTGTGAATTTACAATGCAAAGTTAAAAACTGTTTTTCAGGCACGTTCATTTAGTATTGACTATGACAATAACACATTCACAATGGACGGTAAACCTTTCCGCTACATATCCGGAAGTATCCATTATTCAAGGGTGCCATACCAGTACTGGGATGATAGATTACACAAAATGGCAGCTGCAGGGCTAAATGCTATACAAACGTAGGTTGAATTTTTATGGACTTTGGATTATATTACAATTTACTGTGCATCTTAATCAATAAACTATTGATGATTCCTTACTTTACATTCTAACTTTATTCTATCCACTTATCATATGATATCAGATGTTATAAAAGGCCTTTTCCCAAATGAAATTTTCTTTAAAGTCATGCGTTTTTCCCCAAAATCTTAATTTACCACAGCCTTTTTCCCCCCAAATTACCATAGCAATTTTAGCCAATATTTTTTCCCAAAATCAAGAGGCTTGCCAATTAAGTGACTGGTTACAGTGGTTATTTAAAGAGAGTTCAGTGAACAGTGTTTATAGTATTGCTAGACCTGTTTAACTGTTGTATAATGTCAGAAATCATAAAAGTGGCATACAAAGTTATAATAATTTAAGTTTTGGTTAATTGATGTCTAGTTGTGGCTTCCATAACTGTCAGTTATGGAAGCCACAACTAGACATCAATTAACCAAAACTAATGACATAAGAAAAACACTTAATGTAGTTCAAAGTTTTTATGAATTCTATTTCTGTTATTTTGATAGAATGGAAATATATATCTTTTTTTTTTTTTGCAATGTAGAAAAAGACATGCATTGGTTATCAATTAAATGCTTTTTGGCCTCTCTGCCTTCATGATTATGTTATTGCACATCTGATATAGAACTGTGCATTATTCTTGCATAAAACCTGAGTCATGTATAATCTTCCTTAGTTTTCAGAATTGATATATTATTTTTTCAGTTATGTTCCCTGGAATATACATGAAACTGTAGAAGGTCAATATGACTTTGAAGGTCAGCAGGATATTGTAAAGTTTTTACAAACTGCACAAAAATACAATCTTGCTGTGATTCTTAGGCCAGGACCTTATATATGTGCTGAATGGGAATTTGTAAGTTTATTCTAGCTTACATAATTTATGTGCTGAATGGGAATTTGTAAGTTTATTCTAGCTTACATATGTGCTGAATGGGAATTTGTAAGTTTATTCTAGCTTACATATGTGCAAAATGGGAGGAGGGAGCATATAGTCGTCGGGTTGTCCGTCCGTCCGCACTCACAGGACAGTAATTATGTGGCTAGAGGGACAATAGGTAACTGTTCTTTCTCTTTGATGTCATTTATTCCGTAATGCTTTTATGTGGCTATTTTGTTTTGTGTGGCTAAAAAGAACAATAGAGAGAACAATAGAGTAGCCACATAATTACTGTCCTGTGAGAACATCCGTCGGTACGTCATTTCACAGAAATGATCATCATATTGAGATGACGTGTCATGCACAACATTTGGGTCGCTATTGACCTTGAAGGTCAAGGTCACAGCATGACCTTGCAGCAAATTCGTGTCCGGCCCATAACTTCGTTATTTGAACTCAGATTTTAAAACTATTTCACAGAAATGATCACCATATTGAGATGACGTGTCGTGCACAACATTTGGGTTGCTACTTTGAAGGTCACGGTCACAGCATGACCTTACAGCAAAATCGTGTCCGGCACATAACTTCATTATTTGAAGTCAGATTTTATAACTATTTCACAAAAATGATCACCATAATGAGACAATGTGTCGCAAACTTATTTGGGTCGCCACCTTGAAGGTCAAGGTCACGGCATGACCTTGCAGCAAAATCGTGTCTGGCCCATAATTTCATAACTTGAAGTCGGATTTAACAACTATTTCACAGAGATGATCACCATATTAAATCCACGTGTCGCATGCAACATTTTGGTTGCTACCTAGAAGGTCAAGGTCACAGCATGACCTTGAAGCAAAATCATGTCCGGCCCATAACTTCGTTATTTGAAGTTGGATTTTACAACTATTTCACAAAAATGATCACCATATTGAGACAATGTGTCATGCACAACATTTAGGTTATTTTTACACTTTGAATTTTGTCTGTGACATAACTCTGACACTACAAGAGGTATACCTTCCTGTGTCCAAAACCTATTCAGGGAGCATCACCCGGTTCAACCGGCTCTTGTTTCTCTAGGAACATTGAAATCTTTTATGGGAGTGAGCTATCCTTCAGTCTAACTAGCAGACTATCAACGATTCTAACCCAGATATTTGTTCATATATCCTAAATAAAGCTATATATAGCTACTGAATCTATCAAATGTACATGTGTTATATAATGGTACTAAATGAGAGTTAGAAGTTACATAGAATTATGATCAAGGAAAATGATTTTTATTAAATTATAATTGAACATTTATAAACATGTTTGTATTGTAGGGAGGACTTCCAGCCTGGCTGTTGAAAAATCCAAATATAAAAGTTAGGACTACAGACCCAGGTAACATCCCTATAATTAACATATATATCAAAGTCAGGTTACAGATTTAGAACTTAAAATGTATGTAGGGTAATTTGTTCATATGTTTGTAATGTAACATGTTATAGTACCATCATGGTTGATTGGTTAAGGTCACTGGGTTTGTATCTCTTGCTTTCACTACCTTTAGTTTGAATACTATATCTGGAATCTATAAGCTATCTAAAGCAGGCTTCTAAATCTTGGTAGTTGTATTCCGATTACCTCCACAGTATAATGTAAGGGTATCTTGACAATCTGAAAAAAAATATTGTACATCAATGTGATATAATAGCAAAACTGAAATTCTGCTTTTATCAGTTGTAACAACAATGCTAACAACAATAATTGGGATGTAATTTGATACATTGTATATACATGAGATAAACCTTGTGTGCCAGTAAATTTATAATTAAGAAATTTTCTTATAAAATTTTCATGTAAACAACATTATATTCAAGATTTATATATAAAATTAATTGGAAAAATGATTTATATATAGCCATGACCTTTAGAAGGAAGGTCACACAATGACCGTAACTATTATATTTTATCTTGATAACTTTTCGTTTTGTTTCAGATTATTTGCAACCTGTTGAAAGATGGATGACAAAGTTGTACTCAGTAATCTCCCCTTTGTTATATAAAAATGGAGGTCCAATTATCACAGTGCAGGTATTTGATCCTGAAACTATCATATTGCTTTCCTTACTATATGCTCTTCTATTTAGGATTTTATGGATGTAAGCCAACTTTACAGATGAGTGCCTCAGAATTGTCTATTATTTTCAAATACATGTATGTGCAGTAGATGTTAGTGTCATTAAGGATAAGTTAAGAATAATTCTCTTAACAACATATTATCAAAAAAGTTTGATCTTTGCGCAAGGTCACGTTAGGTAGATAACTGAATCAATTGACATCAATTTTTGTACAACAAGCTTATTTCCAGTCCATTTTATTTAAAAGACTCTGACTAAAATTGGACAAGTATAAATATTAAATAACATTACTTTAGATTTCAGGCATTTCTTCCAACTTTCCGCAGGATTTTTTTTATTTTGTTTAAAAATGATTTTATTTTGCTAATGTTCTCTATAAAGCAGACAAATTAGTTCTTATAATCTGACTTTATAAGGTTTATTTCTTAGGAATCTTGACATATTTTGTGTTTTTGTTTTTTTTTAATTTTGGAAAAATGGCGGAAATATGTAATATTGTCATCTATCTTTTCTTGAGTTTTAAACATTTGTTACTCACTACTACTTGCGTTTTTTTTTCTGTAAAATAAACTACGTAGCCTGATTTCTTTATACATGTATTAAATTAATGTAACATTTTATTTGATAGCTGGTTAGATGCAGCTAAATATTGTGACAGGTTACACTCTGGCTGTGATAGAGTGAGTATTCTTGAATTTAAAGAAGAAACTTCTTGTTGTAGATAGAAAATGAGTATGGCAGTTACCCAGCTTGTGATTACACATATCTGGAAACATTACGTGATATAGCTAGGAAAAACCTAGGCACGGATGTTGTATTATTTTCAACAGACGGTGATGGTGATGGGTATCTTAAATGTGGAACTATTGAAGGAGTTTATGCAACTGTAGATTTTGGAATCACTTGTGAGTGCTTACTTCTTTAAACGCTGTACATCTCTCTCATCTGCAGAAACTGAAAACAGATTTGAAATATGCTATTACTACTTAATAACTTTACAGTTCAGTTCTATATGTTAAAATCTTTATGTTGCAGATGAATTCTTACTTAAACTTTGACTGTTGCTGTTTAAAATAAATTTGTACCCATTTTTTACTTGAGTGTGGTGAATGTCGACTTCACATAATTTGAAGAGACCATCTTTGTTGACAATTTGCTTCATAAATTGGTGATTAGGAAAATGCCCTATCTAAAACAGTTTAGGTTACTCAATGCTGTGTGAACCAAACTATGGCCTAATATTCATTGTAAACCATTCAGTGGTATACTGCTATATTTTTATCTATCTTACAAAAAGAATAAAAACAGTTTATGTACGTAGCAAATTGTATAATGAGTTTTTTGTTGTAATTTAAGTTTTTGTTTTGAAACTTCATTGTTGTTTATATAGATAACCCACAGAAGAACTTCGATATACAGAGACATAAGGAACCCAAAGGTCCTTTGGTATGATTTACAAGATATATCACTATACACAATAAATATATAGAGCGATATAAGGGGAGCGATGGCCTAGTAGTTAAGGTGTCTGCCTCCCAACCCAGGGATCATGGTTTCAAGCTCTTCTCTGTCACCACCATGTTTCTTCATATGACACCAGTACTGGTTGGTTCCAGGAAGTGGACTTGAAAGTGATAAGTATCAGTTACAAGAACTTGTTTCGCAGTCAAACATAAATAAATATGTTTAAACTAAATATATAGAGGATATTTTATTGTTTTGCATATAAGTTTGAAATATATATTTCACAGAAAGAACACCAGATAATATTTTATGAATGTTGTAGCCATAAGTGAAAATATTAGAGCTGGTGATCAGGTGTGAAAATTATTTTGATTTTACATACAAAGTGAATATATGTTCAAACTGACCTTACTAAAACTTACATGTAAATCACTTTTGTAACATCATATTTAATATGTATTTTAGCAAGTCCTTATTTTAAAGTAATGACCTTTTTGGTTGTTTCTATGTCTGTGAAGGTCAAGAGTCTTTCATTGTTTTTATCACTAAACTACTCTTGAAATGTTACTTTGATTTTGATATTATAGTAATGAGGTCCAGCACTTAATGTCATCATACCTGACTGTATACTTAAAACTACTGGACATTGAAATCCCTACAACTATTTATTGACTGTTCCAAATCCACATTAGGACAAGTCCATTTCACAATCTCAGCAGTGTGAGGACTGGCCAAATGAAGCATCACATGTTGTTCAGTACAATATCTGCTTACATGAACCTTTACAGTCATCTGATCACTGGATTTGTACTAATTTAAAGTACATGCATAAATTGTAGATATATACTTCAAGTTTCAAGTTTTAGTTTCAAGTTTATTGTAATGTAATTCTAGGACATTGGCCCAAATACACAATATACTTGTTATGAGTAATATACATGGGAAATTCTATTTTTCTATACATAATATCAATATTTTGCTATGAAAATCACAGACAGGAGAAAATGTTTAGACATTTTTACATTCTTTATTTATATATACAAATCATATGCAAACTGTTTTGTGAGTTATAAAGTAGTATTATGAAATTAAGAGATTTATAGAAGCCTCAAAATTGTATGTGCTTTTTTTTCCAGGTAAATTCTGAGTATTACACTGGTTGGTTAGACCATTGGGGACAAAATCACTCCACTGTTCCTACAGCAGCGGTGGCCAAAAGTCTGGATCTAATGCTTGCACTAGGAGCAAATGTCAACATGTAAGTTACGAGTTAGTGCTAACATTTGATGGTATGTCAGCATGTCAATTGCTATCTAAATACTCAGCTTATGTCAGCATGTAAATTGTGATCTAAATACTCAACTTATGTCAGCATGTAAATTGTGATCTAAATACTCAGCTTATGTCAGCATGTAAATTGTGATCTAAATACTCATCTTATGTCAGCATGTAAATAATGATGTAAATACTCAACTTATGTCAGCATGTTGAAATTGTGATCTAAATACTCATCTTATGTCAGCATGTAAATAATGATGTAAATACTCATCTTATGTCAGCATGTAAATTGTGATCTAAATACTCATGTCAGCATGTAAATAATGATCTAAATACTCATGTCAGCATGTAAATAATGATGTAAATACACATGTCAGCATGTAAATAATGATGTAAATACTTGGCTTTTGTCAGCATGTAAATTGTGATCTAAATACTTGGCTTTTGTCAGGATAAATTGTGATCTTTATTCTCAGCATATGTCAGCTTGTAATATTTTTGTCTGCTTGTAAATTGTGATCTAGATCTCTAAGTTGATAATAATATGTTAATTGTGATCTAAGCCTTCAAAGTTCATTTTTTTTCAAAATCAACTTAATACTAAGAGCCACTTAAAGCTGGTGTCAACATGTACTTTCAAAAAGTTATTGTCAACTTGAAAAGTGTGATCTATGTCCTTGAAGCTAATGTAAGTTTTGATTGAAGCATCTAAAGCTACTTTAAATATGTAAATCATAATAGAATAGTTGGCGTCTGAGTTAATGTCAGGATTTCTCTTTTGTTATATAAAATTTTTTATGCATATACATGTATCTCTTTATTATCATATGATTCTGTTGTAGGTACATGTTTGAAGGTGGAACAAATTTTGGTTTCTGGAATGGTAAGGATTAGTAGAATAGTTCTTTTACTTTGTTTCATTTGTAAGTGAATATTTCTACATTTATTAGGTTTTTGTGACATAAAGTGATTTGTTGATGGGTAAGTGACAAGTACATTTTTAATAGAAATTGCTCTTTTTTGCTTGAATATTTAATTTCTTTTAGTTACCCCCATGGGCTATAGAAACTGATAATTCTCATACAATGTTTTATACCTGTACAAACAAAGTTTATGGTTTCATTTCATGCTTTCAGAATGATAACAAGATTTTGGATTGAGTTATTGTAATCAAACTTGTATGTATGTATGCAATTTAAATGAAAGTTTACAGAATTGTACCTCAAGTACTTGCAGATATTAAATACAACATACAGGACAAACTGTCCAAACACCTCTCAATACAAGTGATGAATAGGTGACACATCTGATCACTGATCGCTCTTGTTTTATTGTTTTATGTGCATTTGTATATATTTATTGTCTTTGTTGTTTTTCTTTAAATACTGTTTGGAATATGATGAAACTTACATGAATGAATTATGTTCCATTTTATGATATTGCTTGAAATGTCCTTGTTTATGATGTTTGTTTTCTGATTATCTTTCTAATTAGCTTGCTCTCTTCAAGTGCTAAGTGGAAATTTCTGTTCTTTAATTGTATAAACTAGATCAACTGTTTTCATTTACCAACTTACTTCTGAATAATAATTTACCATGTATCAGTACCCTCCTGGAATATGGCATACAGCAGGCACTTGGCTAAAACAGTGGAAATTCTAGTTAAATCTTAAGTAGTCACAGTAAGTGGTAATGTTTGCCAATGTTTTAAAATAATAAAGTCACAGCAATAACACGTATAAAATCATTTTTTATTTTTCCAACGTTTCGGCAAATGTATGCCTTTTTCAAGGTAAATAAATAATAATAATATCAACGGACGTGACGTCGTAATTTTACAATTGAATAGTTGAATCCGCCCACTTTAGCGGAAAAACGAACAAATACGAACAATTCCAATTCATGATAAAAGAGATAAGTGCACCAAACAAAGCATCAAAATATAAAAACGACACAATAGATATCGGATTAATAAATACGAATATTTCCTATAGGGTTTAATTATAAAAAATGATAATAGGAAAAAACGAATATCTATGTGGCGTAATTCTAGCATTTTGTAGCGTGGATTGATATTTAATGAATTATTTAATTGAGTATAACAACTTTGTGTTCATTCCTTCTGGAAAATGAGTTTTTAGCTTATGAATCCAAAATGTTTCTTTGCACAAACGATCTAAAGTATTGTAAAATCAACATCTATGGGCATAAATGAAAAGTCGGTAAAATTATGATCGTCCTTATTAAAATGATTTGCAACATTAGTGGAGAATGCAGGATCTACAAAATTGCATATATCAAATTTATGGCTATTCATTCGTTTAGACACAGGTTGTTTGGTTTGACCAACATACTGCATGCTACATTTTTTACATGTTATCAAATATATACAATTCTTGGTTTGACAGTTAGTATGTTGACGTAAGTCAAATATCTCTCCTGTATTTGAACTGTAAAATGACGTACCACTATTAATACGAACACAATGAGAACAGCGTTTTCTACAACAACCTCCAGAATGTGATGTAAAGTCACTGTCAGTTTTTTTTTGTTTTTTTTTTTGCCAATGTTTTACAAAGTAGCTATGATAATACATGTTGTATTGCTGTTAAGATGAAACATGTGTTTAATTTAAGGTGCCAACTACCCATATCATCCAGTACCAACAAGTTATGATTATGATGCTCCACTCACCGAGGCAGGAGATATCACTGACAAATATATGCAGCTTAGAAACACCGTTGCTAAGGTATCAGAACATACAGTAAAATCTTTGTGTTAGCTCTATCTATGATAGTAAAAATGTCAGATCAAATTCAATATGTTTGAATATTATAATACCAGTAGTCTTTTTTTAACTAGTAGATGAATGTAAATCATAGAGTTATAGCATCGTGGCTTTAAAGGCATGTGTTTAACAAGTTTCTGACATGACAATAACCTCAACACCTTTATTTATAGACATTCAAGGTCTCTGTTACTATGTTATTAAATGTTTGACTAATATATCATCTGATAGCTGGTCAGATGGTCAGATCTTTTATTTGGTACATCCAACACTCGTGCATAGTATAATGCTCACCTTGACCAGTTTAAAACTAAAAAGTGGCTATAATGTTATCTGAGGCATCTGTATATAAGTAGATCATAAACACATTAATAGTAAGGTTCAGGTATTGTTTTGTTTACAGATAGGACAACTTTTATTTTTGTATAATAACAAACATCCCTATGTAGTGCATAACAAGAACTTTTGTACTTTTCTAGTATAACCCTGGAGCTAGAATGAAGATACCCCCTTCTACACCTAAGGTTGCTTATGGCAAAGTCCAGATGATATTTGTAAGTAAAACATTTAATAGATATAATCAATTTTACAAGTTTACTTATCACAATGCGGCAGATTTAAGTAAGAGTGTTTATAACTGAACTTAATTGAAATTGATTTATTGATGTTTGGATTATATTTAACTTTGATATTATTGTACAGAAATATTTTTATTATAAACATCTAATATATATGTAATTAATAAGTATGTGAGCATTGATGATTTAAATCTGTTACATTCATGTGTGTGAACATAGATGATAATTAATTATAGGTTGAAAGTATAATATCTTATGTTGATGGGACATCTAAACCAATAAAGTCTAAATATCCACTGAACATGGAGGATATTGATCATGTAAGTTCTGTTATAATTTATATATTATTATTTCAACATTAAACAGCACATTATCTATACGCTATTATGTATTTTATCTCATTAGAAGTGAAGTATTTTAAGGAGTTTTCCCCCTTGTGGCTGAGGGGTTGCCTTTAAGGGTTACATATTTCGGCAACATGTGTGGTGTGACTTAAAACCTAACTAAACATGTTTTAAGCAGTTTTTAGTTAAAAGGCAGTAGAAAAAAGTTTTGTTTCATGATATAAGATATATTCAGTGACCTTTATTGTAACCTATATACATTCATTTAATACTCTTCACTGATGAAAAAGGAGCTTTCCATTAAAAAGTTGAATTATGGCACATTAAAGCAAACAATATGCTTTGTTCTACTCTCAAGAACAAATTATAACAACAAAGTAGACGGCCTTTATTTGCATTTTATTCTGCAATTTAAAAAAAAATTATGTTGAGTGAAAATATTGGATACAAGTTTATAAAGTATGAATTCAGTAAAATTCATCATTTGTGTTTACAGTATTACGGGTTTATTCTGTATGAACATCAACTAAAGTCAGCAGTGTCACATGGGAAAGTTGATCTATCAGGTGCTAGAGATAGAGCATATGTCATGACAAAGTCTGGAAACATTGTGGTAAACAACATTTAGTATTTATGTATTTACTTTATCTTTAGTTACAATATGATAATGTTTCTAACAAATAGATTATTTTAAATACACCAGTAACTTCTACTTATAACCTGGTAGTTACAAGAAATTATTTTTAATAATCTGACAAAACATGTATTGAATTCATTTGAAATTTCATGAAGGTTTTGATGTCAAATTGTTAAACTTTTTGTACTTTTCTTATTTCTTGTTAATGAAATAAAATTAAAGTGTATATCGAAATTATTTTAAGAGTTCAGTTGGAGTAACAGAGAGGGACAGCAATAATGTGACCTTGACATTCAGTGGTAAAGCAGACGACAGTTTGTTTATACTTGTAGAAAATCAAGCTCGAATAAATTATGGAGGACAAATGAACAATAACCTTAAGGTATGGAAAATGCCAGGAGCTGGTTTAAATTTGTTTTATGTCAATAACTGAACTGTCTATTACCCATGTTTGCTCAACAATTTAGCAGAGATACAGGTCAGCTCATTTTGATTCTCAGGCCATGCATGGGCATAAAAACTTGATGTATTATATAGCTTAACTTAATTTCAAATTGTTTTGTATATGAACTGTTTTACAAAAATTCATGCTTTATAATAACACTATTTTATCACAGATGATTTTATCAAATTAGGTAATGTGGCGATGTGGCCGAGTGGTTAATGCATCAGACTAGTAATCTTTGGATTGCTGGCCATGTCAAGTCCAAACCCCTTCAGGGGCAAGTCATTCTTAATACTGGTTAGTTCCAGCAAAAGAGAGTGTGTCTATAAGCTTATACCTTCTTACTCGATGAAACTAAAATAAATGCTGTATTAACTGAACTAGGCACTGCAGTGTAACTTTGGGAAATATGGACCTTTCAATCTGCATTATGTACTCATCATTATCCATTATATATTCCATATATTAATTGAGGATAAAGAGTCTAAAATATTTGATAAATTATTTGAATGATTATTAGTGCATTAGTGTGTTTTGTGTAAGATTAAATTATAACTACAGCATGATTATAGAGTAGTAAAGTTGTGAACATCAATGTGTTGGTTTTCTTTAGTAGCAGTTATACTTCCACAAACTTTAGAATCTATAAGCCAGTTAGGAATAAAAGTAAAATTGAACAAATATATGCCATTACAGTTTTCATATAGGGTCATTTCATATGAAATTTATATATTTTATGTTTCAGTTTGTTTTGTTAAATTATATAGACACAAATCATTACATTAAAGAGCTACCGCTGTTTGACATTTATATTAGTCCAGATCAGTATGCCCCACTTATAAATTTAGGGAACATTCATAGTTTCAATTTTTTTGGCTGGTTCGACTAGTGTTTGGACTTGAAATTACCTTGAAATTAATTGCAATAATTATGTCTCCCAAATTTGGAGACATTTTGCCTTCTCCATCTGTATGTCTATCCGGTTGTCAGTCCATCCATCCGAATTAAGCTTGTCGGGCTTTCACAAGTCAAACTCCTGGTGGGATTTCAACCAAACTTCAAAGAAGTGATCAGTTCCATACCTAGTTGTGCACATTGCCGGCATGTTCTGCTTCGCTGCACAAAATGGCCACCAGAGCTATTGATAGAAAAATCTTGTCTGGCTTTCATAGTTCAAACTGCTGGCAGGATTTCAATGAAAATTCACAGGAGTGATCAGTACCATGCCTACATGTAGTTTTGGGAGACATATTTTTTTACAAAAACCCCTTCTAGTTATATACATTTGTATTTATTTTCAGGGTTTGATATCAAATGTCACTCTGAATGGAATGAATTTGACAGATTGGTTGATTTATCCTGTCAACATTGACAGTGATATCATGAACAGACAGTTAATGATGTCATCAAGTAAACCAACATCTGCATTAGATTCGAGATTACCATCCGTATTCACTGGAAAGTTTGAAATTACAGATGAGCCTAATGATACATATTTAGATATGTCATTATGGACAAAGGTATGTTTAATTTGATTCAGATGAAACCATTTATATGCTTAAAGGGACCCCTGTTAGGTTTTGTGACAAAATACGATTTTCAATTGTTTCAGGAAGCGGACTCGAAAGTTATAAATATAAGTTGCAAGAACTTGTTTCGCAATCAAGCTTGAATAAATATGTTAAAACCAATTCTTTTGGTGTAAAGTGATGTAGGAACTTTAGTTATAGAGTCCATAGAAATTTTATTGTACCATAATTATTGTAAAAGATTGTACTAGAAACACAATGTTTTTCCTACTTTATTTTACTAAACTGCTAAATTAGAATATTGAAGAATGATATGTTTTGATATTGTGGAAAATAGATTTATTTCAAAGAAATCCCAATACAAAAACTTGTGCAAAAGGAAAATATCAAAAAGTTTTAGTAGTGGTATTAATCTATTCTCATTGAAATCAATTTTAGACAAACCTTTAGTGTGTAGTTGATAGTCTTAGAATTTTGTCCCATTAAAAAAAAATTAAAAAGCAGTTTACAGTTTTATAGCTAAAACATATCATAGTCATTTATGATTTTATAAATTTGTTCCAGGGTCAGATGTTTGTAAATGGTGTAAATATCGGCAGATATTGGCCAAGCTTAGGGCCACAAGTGCGACTCTTTGTTCCCAAATATGTGTTAAAGGAAGGGTCAAATATAATTGCATTGATAGAACTGGAGAGACACCCATGTGACAGTATGGAGCACTGTTATATAACATTCTGTGATAAACCTTTAATTAATTCCACTGTAAGTCCAGGAGATATCAGTTTACAGGTACATGGTGACATTGATAAGACAGTATACAGAGGAAATTTAACATATTTTGAAACTGGAACTAAAACACAAAACACTGGAAATAGCAAATTGTCTTTATTCCAAATGGTTTACAACATTGTTATGAAAATTGTTGAAAGCAAATGGGGAGTACTTCTGTTGTGATGAGAAACTGTAATACAGAAGAGAATATAATAAAATATATGCTATATAAAGTTACATAGAATTAACTTGCAACTGATTTTGTTGATTTTAATATTACATTAAAGTTGCATGCCTCGAGATGAGCCAAAATATTTCAAGAAAATCAGACTTGAAAAAAATGTACTAAGCTTTTGAGAAAATGAAAAAGGTCTAAGATTCAAATATTAATTAACATGTTATGTGTGATTTATGACTTGCAGTATTAATTGTATTATCATATTTCTAGTGCATAACTATTGCAGTTAAGGCTTTTTTTGCAAACATTAATGAGCAGCGTCAGGACAAAACCAACAGAGTGCGTTTGCGACCAGCATGGATCCAGACCAGCCTGCACATCCGTGCAGTCTCATCAGGATCCATGCTGTTCGCTATCAGTTTCTTTACTTGTAATAGGGTTGGTAAGTGAACAGCATGGATCCTGATCAGACTGCACGGATGCGCCGGCTGGTCTGGATCCATGCTGGTTGCAAACGCACTATGTTGGTTTTGTCGTGATGCGGCTCATTTGTATTTTGACTATTTTTTGATGCTTACATGAATCATAAGTGCCATTAGCAATGTGTAAATTACATTCTTTGTTCTCTTCACAATATTTCATTTTATAATACATTTTCAAAATTTTCATGAAAATTGAAGCAACATGTACTAGAGGCAATTTTTGTTGCCTGTTGCTTTTATACATATGGAGGTGTAAAATATGTAAACATTCAAATAAATTGTGCAATACAATATTAAAATGTGATAGTTTGAATGATTTTGTTTCTTTTTTCTGCCGATGGCCAGTCTAAAATTCAGTTTTCACTTCCTGTAAAATTTACAGGGAAGAATTTTTTTACACATATGAAGTTTTCATTGGTCATTTAAAAATTACAAAATGAAATCTGGGAACCTCATTGGCCATTATAAAATCAAATGTAAAGGATATTTCAAAAATGAAATGTGTAGGATAGATCTTGAACTCGCTAGTTAACTAACTCAGATATTTAAGTTTTGTTTAACAATACTTCTTGCATTCAGATCTTATTACATTTTCTAGTGAACAGTTTATTTTAAGTAAGACCTTACAGAGTTTATTTTACAGAAAATCTGAGGGAGAGTAATATCAAAACTTATCAGGTACCTTCAGTTTATGATGTTCAATAAGTGTCTTATATATTGTATGATTATTGATATGTTCAACTGATATATTGTTTATAATTTTCATATATTTTTTGCATATTAATGAAATCAAGTATTTATAAAATTGCCAACCAACTGTGTAGATGTTTGCGTTAGAAATTGAGTTCACTTACCGAAACACGACAGGTTCATTTACTAACACATACATCTTAGTGTTCCATTTTTGTGCCCCCACTTGGGGGGGGGGCATTCAGATTTACCCTTGTCTTTCCATCCGTCCTTCTGTCCATCCGTTTCCGATTTTATGTCAGCCCCCCCCCCTTTTCCAAAAGTTTATTTTGGACCCCTAGGAAAAAAAAAATCCCATGGAACGAAAAAAAACCCCCTTTTAACCAGGGGGAAAAATTGGGGGGTTTTTTGGATCAGGGTGTGTAGATGTGCACCTGGGTATTTTTGTCCGGAATTTTTAAGTATTTGTAGAGTTATTGCCCTTGACTTAGTAAAAATTTACAATGTTCAACTTGTGTAGTATGTAACTCAAAAAGTATTAGACCTAGAGTTATGAAACTTCACAGGAATGTTGATCAGCATGTGAAGTTGTGCACCTGGGGTTTCGCTTGTGGATTAATCCAGTATTTGAAAATTGCTCCCAGCAAACACCCGACGTTGACCCAACGTTGGATCAACGTTGAATTTTGGTCGCGACGTCGGTGACCTTCATACAACGTCAAATCGACGTTGAATCCCCGACGTCTAACAGACGTTTAATTTTGACGTCGGCTCGACGTCGGGTTTTGGTCGGTAATCTGACAATAGGTGAATTTAATTTATGAAACCAAAATATATATAAATGAAAGCATAAAACAGCGATAATTTTAAGTTTAAGTTTAGAAAGGGAACATTATATATTTATTTTCTTCATCAAAAAACAAAGTATCACGTGGGTGGCTAACGTACGATATTTCGATAGGTGGCGCTCTGTAAACGGATAGTCGTCCAGATCAGTATGAAATATATTTGCTCTATTTTCGTTTAAATAATATCTTATCTCCTCGAATTAGTCTAAGAAGTGTTTATATAATTTACAATGAAGCTGTTATCATTTTTGAGGGCTTCATTTTATAGTGGTAAATAATTTAGTAAATTCGAATTTGCGACTTATCGGATTTGAAATTCAATTGTATTAGGGACAAAAAAACGACGGGTTGACAGACAAAGTTGTATATTCCAAACGAAAGAAAAAGGTAGGCAAACATTATATATTGTTTTTCAATGCTTATTTCAGTCAATCCAGAAATTTATGCTGTTTTCAGATGTGAAAAATGACTTAAAATCAATCAACATGAAATCATGATTTAACAACTTTTTCAATAAGTAAATTATGTTAGGCGACATGTTACAAAAAATTGCTCACCAAATGTGACAGATTTTCAAATTGCTTTGACTCAAAAAGGTACACCTTATTTTCAATGTAACGGAAGTTAAACTTCTGAACAGGGTCAAATATGAAGTATTTTACTGTTCTAGATCTCAGTTTATCAATGATAAAAACATATTGGCAAGCAGAAGAGATTTTATATATAAAATATATACGGAATATTTGACACAAAAGACCATTTTAATAAAAATAATAAAACAGAGAATAACTTAAGTGAGCAGGTTTAAAACGTGACTATTTTCTTATAAGAAAACAATCGCAAAACTAATAAAAAAAAGAAAGAGTGTTACACTTTTGTCATATTCAGCTATATACATATTCAATAGAAACCATTGGCATTGACTGTTATCAAATGTTATCAAATTATGTTTTCTTGTACTTGTTAGTTTAACATATAGAGTCAGTAACGGAAGTTAAACTGTCAGATATTTGCTGTCAAACATTTTAGATTTTACCTCAAATAACTTGCCTCTAATGTATATCGGACAAGTTAAGTAAATAGTATGCAGCATGAGTGTGCACAATACAAAATAACATCAAAGTCCTACAGCATACGCATACAAGCTGGAAAGGTGCCTTCCAAGAAACAGGGTTATGTTTGTAACAGTGGTATATTATTTTTCAATGTAAAGGTTTATGAAATTTAAAAAAAATCAAATAAAGAATGTTTCGTAAACAAAAGATTTGCTTCAAGTATTAAATATTTGGAACTCACTGTTTAGCAAATACTGGTATTTGCTTGAGAAATTGTATCAATAATATGTACATTGTATTTTACTTAGGTAACGGATGTTAACAATTTTTCATGTATGTTTGAATGGTTTGATAAATTTGATTTCAAATGCATCAACTGACGTCCGACCAACATAGCATACTTTTTAACAATCTAAATGTATTTGTACAGTTTCCCTGATTTGTATCAACCGAAATAATTAATAAATTAAAGCATTTTGCTTTGAAAGATGGAAAATTAAGGGAAACATTTTGACAATATTCATGAATTAATATATTTGCCAGTAATATATCTATGTCATATCTAAATTCAGTATATTAACAAGAGGGCTATTTGGGCGATATATGGCTTACTTGAATAAATATTGCAATTACCATCATCTTTGGTTCAGGTATGTGAGATCATAATGAACTCTATAAGGAAAATTCGAAAACCAATGTTACTTTGTGACCTTGACCACTTCAAATTCCACAGGAAAGAGACGGATTTCTTTTCATTTTACATGTTTTACTTTCTTCCCAAGTATCTTGCATCAGTCAAAAAACGATGACTTTATGTAGAAAACTAGAATACTTCATTAATTATTCAGTATGACCATGACCTCTGTAAAATTTCACAGTTTATATATATATAAGATGTATTTTATCAGATATCAAAGTTATTATTCACTTAAAATGTCATAAAAGATATTTTTAGCATGTAGAGACCAGCTGCACTTGTCAAATCGTGTTACCAAATGTCAAGAATTATCAGTTTTGGTAAAGGGCACACACCAATTAGACAACAAATATATTAATACTAGGTCTTTCCGTTACATACTAAAGCCATGTTCAGTTTTCCATAAAGGTCCTAGAGCTCATGAAGCGGGTCCAATTTTGATTCCGATAAAATGATAACATTAAACTCGGTGAAAATATAATAGAAAATGTTAAAAACTAATTATCTAATACATATTTGTTGTTGTATTATATAGAAGTGGATTATTTTAATAATTGCAGTCAAATTGGTAAAATATATGCTTCTTTTAGCTCTTTAATGACCATTGCTTTATAGATATGGCCAACACATAACTAAGGATAAGAACAAAAATCAATATATTTATAATGCATAATGTTTTGTATAACTTTGGCTTAATTCAAGTAAAATATATAACATTTGTCATACAACACCACAAAAAATTCTAGCTTTGCCAATCCAATGATTATTATTCTGTATCAATGATAAGATCAAACTGGTTTATTGAAACAGACCAGAATCCTATTTACTTCCGTTACCACACACTTTACATATGCAGAACTCTCAAGATGAACGTTGTAAGGTAAATGTCTCATGAAGTTGTTTTTTTTATATTGTGGGATGGAGTGCTACTTTCTGTCAAATAATTTTGTCTTAATGCAGGTTATTTGCAAAGGAAGACAAAACCGCCAAATATTTTTTAACTTCCGTTACCCTTGCTTGAATTTCTAAGAACAACATTGTTTTGGCAACGATATTGTAAATAAAAATTACGATTGGTAATAACTGCATATGCTTATGTATAAAAACATATTGTTAAATACACTTTTCTATCTTTTTGCAATCAAAGAATTTAATCAATTTGGAATTTAACTTCCGTTACTGTGCAGATACATTTTCGTACGACATTAGCATCATCACGCATGTACATGGAAGTATAAAAGATTTCAAATTGCTACATTTCTCCATTCACAGAAATACAGTTCTCACATACATAGATAACTTTCTTTTTCGAATAAAACTTTTGTTAGAGTGAAATTGTACAGACTATTAATGAACACTCACCAGTTAACGATAGAAGCTAATTTTGAATTAATATTATTGCAACGTTTTTGCATTTTATCAAAGTATGCTGGCTTTGATCTAAACAATACTTTTAGAGTGTTTCAAATATCTTTTAACATCATCATAGCATAGGTAGGATAACAATTACCAAAAATGTCACGGAAGTTAACAGTAACGGAAGTTAAAAAGATGTTCTTTGAAAACCGATTTTCAATATTTATATCAATTTTAAAATAATAACAACCATTACACCATCTTCTTGTAAGCCTAAAAAATCATTATGAACCTTTATAGGGAAGTTATACCTTGCAATATTCCTAAAACTTTTGGTCACGGAAGTTAAACGCGTTTTTTTGTTTTTTCTCAGTGGAAACTGTATGATGGGCTATGATGCTCGAATATTAACTTTGATAACATATAAGGGTAATATAAACAATTTTTAACAAAATCCACTGATATTATATCCCATATACACGACATTATTGAATGTACATACCATTATAAAACAAAGTTTGATAACTGTAACGGAAGTTAATACTATTTTGGAGACATAAAAGTATCAAACCGGGCTGTGAGGTTTTGAACTGGACTAGATATTTTCCTTCTTTATAAGTACAAGATAGGTCTATTTTATAGTTACTGAGAAAAGTTTTTTTCATAG